CTCTCTACCACTTTAAGAGAGAAGAGAAAGAAAAAAAAAGAGGAAGAGAAGAGAGAGAAAGAAAGAAGAGGAGAAAGACACAAGAAAGAAAAGATAGAGGAATAAAGAGAGAAAAGGGAAGGAAGGAAGGAAGGAAAGAAAGAAAGAAGGAAAGAGAAAAACATTTAATACACTCTTTGCATGTCTGAGGTAGAAGGGAACAATTAGTCCCATCACTTCATTTTATAGATAAGGAAACTGAGAAGTAAAGTGAAAATGCCTAGCACCACACTTACAGCTTAGTCAATAGCAGAGCTGAGATTCCAACCCTGGGTTTTCGGCCCAGCATAATTCAAAACAGCAAAGAGCCCTGGATTTAGAATCAGATGACCCGAGTTTGAATCCTGGCTTTGTCATTTACTGCTTGTTTACTTTGGGTAAGTTGCTTAACAGCTCTGAGCCTCAGTTTCTTTGACTGTAAAATGTGAGAAGTTTGACTAGATGATACCTCAGGTTTCTTCCAGCTCTAAACCTAGGATCTCCTGACTCTAAATTCAGTGCTCTTTGCACCACACCACCAAGTGGTACCACCAAAATAAATGTAAATAGTTCAGGGAAGAGGACCTGGATTCATACACTGACTATGCTGATTACTATCTTTGTGATCTAGAGCATGTGACTTAAAAGCAATCAGCCTCAGTTTCCTATAATCAATCAATAAATATCCTACTATGTTCCAGGCACTGTGCTAAGATCTGGGGTTACAAAAAGAGGCAAAAGACAGTCCCTGCCTTCAAGGAGCTTACAATCTAATGGGAGAGCCATGTAAACAAATCTATACAAAGCAAGCAATATAGAGGATAAATAGGGAATAATTAACACAGGGGAAAGCACTAGAATTAAGAGGGGTTAGAGAAGTCTTCCTGTAGAAGGTGGGATTTTAGTTGACACTTGAAGGAAGCCAGGGAGGTCAGTAGTCGGAATGAAGGAGAGAGAGTATTCCAGGAATGGGGGATGGCTAGAGAAAATTCTCAGTGTCTTGTTCGTGGAACAGCCAGGAAGCCACTGCTGCTGGATTGAAGAGTACGTATCAGGAAGTAAGAGGTAACTGGACTGGAAAGATAGGAGCAGGCAAGGATATGAAGTGCTCTGAATGCCAAACAGAGCATTTGAATTTGACCTTGGAGGTAATAGGGTGCCACTGGAGTGTGTGTGTATGTGTGTGTGTGTGTGTGTGTGTGTGTGTGTGTGTGTGATGACATAATCAGACCTGTGTTTTAGGAAAATCACTTTATTGGAGGAGTGGAGAATGGATTGGAGTGGGGAAAGCCTTAAGGTGGGCAGACCCACCAGCAGGCTGTTACAACAGTCCAGGTGTGCAGTGATGAGGGCAGCACCAGAGTGGGGGCAGTGCCAGGTGAGAGAAGGGGATGAATCAGAGAGATGTTGCAAAGGGGAAATGGATGGACATCTTGGATATGGGGGTGGAGAGACAGTGAGAAGTCCACGATGACTCCTATGTTTTGAACCTGAGAGACTGGGAGGATGGTGTTGTCTTCTGCAGTAACAGGGAAAACTATAGCATTTACCTCACAGGATTCTTGTAAGGACCAAATGACATACCGTATGTTAAGTGCTTTGCAAACCTTAAAGTGATTTACAAATTACAGCTGTTACTGTGCCTTCTTCTGAATTGTGGTGTAAGTAACACCGGATTGTTCTACGTTTTTTTCTTCATCCTGATGAGATTGGTTTTCTCTTCACCCACAGTTAGACTCATCAGTCGTGCTTAGAATGTCAGAGATGTGATGCCTGCTTTTTCCGGGTGAAGTGAAAGGTAGAGCACCCCCTACTCTTTCCAGAGAGTGAGACACCTCTTCCTGCACAACATCTTTCTTCCTTGATCCCCGACCCTCCCCACATTGTAAAAGCTCCTTTCCTCTTCAACCTTGAATTTTTGCTGTATTTTTTGTATATGCTTATATATAAACATATAAATATGAAAGCATGTAAACAATAAGTATTTATCAAGTACCTACTACGTGCCAGGCACTGGGTACGTAAAGATGAAAATGAAACAGTCTGTCTTAAAGGAATTTATAATCTGGGGGAGCAGAATGGAGAGGAGATGATATGTATGTGTTGTGTGTGAGTGTGTTTTAGTATACATAGAATATATACTAAATAAATACACATTTCTTTCCCCTGACAGAATGTAAGCTCCTTGAGGGAAGGGATTCTTTTGTTTTTTGTCTTTGCACTCTCTACTTGTGCCCTGCGCCTAGTAGGTACTTATTGTTTGTTGAAATTAAATTGGCATCACTTCTGGATGGGGCTGGCACGCTTGGCCTTTTGGCATTCAGTCAGAGTTTGGAGGGTATGTTCAGGGGTCTGATGCCTCCCTCAAGTTGCTCACATTTGAGAGATTATTTCTCTTCATTTCTTCCTAGCTTAAACAAATTGATGTTAGTCTGTTCAAGTACAATTGCAAATTGAACATTGCTTGCCATGACTCAAAGGAATAAGAGCTGCCCTTGTTCTTGAGTTGTTTTTCACTTGTGCCCGACTCTTTGTTACCCCAATTAGAGTTTTCTTGGCAAAGATACTGGAGTGGTTTGCCATTTCCAGCTCATTTTACAGATAAGGAAACTGAGGCAAACAGGGTAAAGTGACTTGCCAAGGGTCACACAGCTAGGAAGTGTCTGCGGCTACATTGGAACTCAGGTCCTCCTGACTCTAGGCCCAGTGCTCTATCTGCTGCACCACCAAGCTGCCCCAGGAGCTAGGCACCGAGATAAATGCCTGTGAAGGGAGGGAAATGAACAGGATAAGTTCTCCTAAATCCCTTCCCCTTTCTTGTTTTCTCTTGAAATTGTTGGAGATAGTATCCCATGAGGATTGTTTGAAGGAACGTTGAAAGATATTTGGAGAAATCTGAGAGGGATATACATGGTAACTGTCTTGAAGAATCTGAAAGGCTGTCATGTAGAAGAGAGATTTATTTCTTTTTGGCCTCAGAGGGCAGAAGCTGGACCAGTGGGTGGGAATTTCATGAGGTGGATTTGGAATGTGGATTTGGGTACACTGGTGACCATTCCTATTAAGAACTGGTTGTTAAATTTTCAGTGTGAGCATTCACTGCTTGGAAATAGGTGAATGCTACAAATCAGGGCTTGATTTGTAATTTTGTTGATTGTCTCACTTTAAGAAAGTGATACAGAAAGTGTTAATAATGCCAATTAAACTTAAAAGTTTGGCGTGTACATTTTTCCCCCCCTTTGGAGAGTCATTGTTAAACATTTACTAGCACACCTCTGGATACAAGGAAAAACCTCTTTACAATCAGAGGGCAATGGCCACCTTGGAAAGTGGTGAGTTACCCTGCCCTGGACATCCTCCATCATATATAGCAGATCCACTTGCAAGGAGATTTCCATTTAGTTATAGGTTGGACTACAACAAGAGTTCTTAACCTTTTTTTTTGTGCCATGGGCTCCTTTGGGATGAAGCTCATGAATCTCTTTTCAAATGCATGAAATAAAATACATAGGATTACAAAAAATATATTAAAATAGTTAAAGAAAAAAAAAACAGGTTCACAGACCCCAGGTTAAGGATCTCTGAGGTAGAAAATTCCTGACGTTCCTTCTAACTCTGAAATTCTGTGATTAATTCCAAGTCAGAAAATGATGACTTGGGTCTCAAACCATTTACTAGTTTTTTAATTTTAGATAATTAACTCATTTTACTTATATAAGCCTCAGTATCCTCACCTGAAAAATGGGAATAATAATATTTACACCATCTACCTAACATGAGTTAGGCCCTTGTGAGTATCAAATGAGATCATGAATGTGAAAATACTTTCTAATTAGAAAGTCATATATGTGTATGAACAGTTATTAATTATTATTATGCAGTTGAGACCCTTGGCCTCTCCTACCAATTCAAGTTCTAGCTTTTGTAGTTCAGTAAGCAAGGGACTCATAAATTAGGATTTCATGTGGAAATAGCGCATGTTATTGTGGTTGGTTTTTTAAAATCCTGTAGCATTTCAGGGGCAGCTAGGTAGCTAGCTAGACTCAGTGACTAGATTGCCAGGCCTAGAGTCGGGAAGACCTGAGTTCACATCCTGCCTCAGATACTTACAAGCTGTGTGATGGGGCAAGTCACATAGGAGCTGGAGACTTAACAATCAGACAATCAAGCGTTTCAGGATAGATGACATTAATCAGTCAGCCTCAGCTGAGTCTGGCTTTGTAGCCAAATGAATTAAAGTCTTGTCTGCTCAGTAGAAAGTTGTAGAATCTTAGAGTTGAAAGGGTCGTTAAGAGTCATTTAGTTCAAACTCTCATCCACTGCAGGAACCCATTCCACAGGGTGCTTGCTGGGTAGATGAGATGGAGCCTGTGCTTGAATACTTAGCTGAGTCAGGATTCAAAAAGATCCCTACAGGCTAGAAACACCGGTTCTGGAGAGATGATTAGGCCAGGTTGCTACAAATCCCTTAGCTTCGCCTGAAATCCAGGACCTCTAGTTTCCACCACAATTAGCTAGTGCTATGGGAGGGTGCCTTTCCTCTCTTCCTCTCCCCCCCCCCCCCGAAGCACGGGATCATCAACCTAGTTACCGGATGTCTTTGGCCTGGGGCCTGTGAAACTTTTTGAAAGTTTTGAAAATAATATTTCAATAGAATGCATTTCATTTGCAATCCTATGTATTTTATTTTATACATTTAAGAAATACTATTCTGAGGAGGGTTCACCGGTCGGCCAAAGGGGTCCGAGAGGCAAAAAGGATTATGAACCTTTGCTCTAGTTCAATTGTTTCGTAAGCATTTACAGATGAGGAAACCGAGGCCCATGGTGAAGAAGTGCCTTGCCCAAGACCATGATGAGGCCTCGGCCAGCCTCCTCATTCCCCAACTTTTCTGTCTAGGAATGGGGTGCCTCCACTCCGCACCTTCCACTGGCCAGCCCCGCCTCTCTCGTAGTCCCCTCCCTCTGCCTCCTCCTTCCCCGCCTCCTCTTTCCCACAGATCTGGCCCAGAGCTTCCCGGTCACCCAGAAAACTGCTGTCCGAGAGTGAGTTGGGGGTGACCCACGGCCCGGCCGCGCCTGCCTGGTCCCCTGCTGCAGCTAGGCTGCGGTGCTCTCCGGCGATGTGCGGCCAGCTCCCTCGCCGGCCAGCAGTCTGGGGGAGGTGAGGGGCGAGAGGAGAGGCGCGAGGCTGCCGGGCTAGCGGAGCGCTGGGGACCGCCCGTCAGGCGGGCGAGCGGAGCAGCACCGCGGCGGCCCGGGGCTGGGAGGGAGCCCAGAGGAGCAGGCTTGCCCAGGCGCGGGGACTGCGCCGCCCGGAGCCAGTGGACCTGAGCAACTGGGGCCGGCCTCTGGGAGCTGGGGGCGGGCCGGGGAGGAGCTCCGTGGCTGCGGGAGCCCGACACTCTGCCCGGGACTTTCAACCCTCCCGGTCGTGTCCGATCCCCCTCTCCCCGGCCGTTGTGGCCGCTAAGGGGACGGAACCTGGCTTTTCTCTCGGGGATCGGGACTTGGCTGTGGTCAGCTTGCTTGGATCCCCGGGGTCTCTGCCCCCTCCTCCAGGGAGGCCCCCTGGGGTCGCTCTGCGTGGACTAAGGAGCTGGAAACTGATCGCCTGGGAGCTGAGCTTTCAAGCAAGGGCGGACCAGAGCTGGAGTTTCCCCGGAATTCCCTGCCCTGCCCAGAGGTGTTCTGGCTTTCCAGGTCTGCACCCAGGAAGCGGGGTGCCTGAGAGGGACTTCAGCCTCCGCGCGTCGGGGAGCCTCACCAAATCTCCGCTTCGTTCCCGTTCCTGACTCAGGATGGCAGCCATCAAGGCCCTGCAGCAGTGGTGCCGACAGCAGTGTGAGGGCTACCCGGAGGTCAACATCACCAACATGACCACCTCCTTCAGGGACGGCTTGGCCTTCTGCGCCATCCTGCACCGGCACAGACCGGACCTCATGTGAGTAGTGGGTGCCCGGAGACTTCCAGGGGCGGACAGCTCTGGTCCTGTTAGCTCCAGACAAGTGTCGGTTGGCATCAAACCTGGCCAAGGTCCGGGCCGCTGCTCGCCTTCACCTGGAATGAAACTAAGCTTCCTGCATCCTGGTTTCTCAAGTCTCTTTGTTTCAGGACCTCCCACCAAGAAAGGGTTGGGAGTGGGAGGACGTGACCACATCTCTGTGGAAAAGCAGGGAGGGTTAGAAGATAAAGTACCGGTAATGGAGTCAGGAACACCTGGGGCCAGATCCCTGCTGTAGGACTCAGTAATTATATGAATGTGGGCAAATTACTCCACCTTTCTTAACCTCAGTTTTCCTATCTGTAAAATGGGGACAATAATAGCCACAATGCCTACTTCATAAGGTTTTTCTGAGGTGTAAATGAAACGGCGTATGTAAAGGGCTTTGAAAACTCTACAGAGTTATATAAAGGCCAGCTATTATTATGCCCAAGAAGCTGGGCTACTAGGCAAAGATTTCAGGAGTTCAGGCTTCTCCCTTCCTGGAAAAATGCAGAAAGCATCTGTTCTTGGGTCACTTGACATCTACCCCCACTGCTCTCTGCAGTTATCTGACCCTAGATCTCTAGTTGTCATCCCCATGTTTCATTTCTCTCTCTGCCCTCTGATGAATGAGGTGGGCATCAGCACCTTTTCAGAAACTTTTAGGACCTTGAGTTTCTTTTGTCTTGAGACCAAACTTTTGATTTGCCCAGAGACAGAGGGATGCTGGGATGGTGGAAAAGTCCTTTTTTCTCCTGGAGCCAGTCGGGTCAGGTCAGGAATGGCTCAGTTTGGGTGGGGATGGGGCTGTGCAGAAAGTGTGAGACACTGGTCCATCAGAGCAGAGACTGGCTGGGAGCCCAGAGCCTGCTCTCCTTTAGGAGTTCTGGAGACAGTGGGTTATTGCCGGCCAGTCAGGCTTATGAAGGGGGGCGGGGGGGGGCGGGGTCTGAGTACTGAGCCGAAGTGAGCAACTCCCAAATCTTAAGCTAGAATCCTGTTTCCCCACCGGTGACAAGGGGAGGGGGTTGGATAGGGAATAGGACCAAACATTTCCCCCTCTAGGCTTGAAGTAAGGAAAACCTCTTTTAACCTATAACTGCCTCGTGGAATTACGCCTCAGGGAAGATCTGAACTGGAAGGTGGTTTTCCAGGGCTTTGTTTGGAAAGAGCCTAGATTCCTGCTGGTGGTGCTAAACACTGGGTTTCCTGGGCTATAGAGAGTAGCCAGTGAGGCCTCCCCACCCTCCTTAGTTGAAGCCAAGGCCGTGCTGAGTGTGGAGGAGGTTGGATAAAAACAGTTCTTCAGAGGTGTTAACTGCCCGACTAAGAGTGGTTTAAAATGTTCCCGTTCTGAAATTTGGTGATAGGAGAATGAAGTGCCAGGAAGGTAGGGCTCAGGAATACACCAGGATGTGGTCTTGCCCTAGTAAACCCGTGGTACAACCCATTTGGAGAAAGACTGTCAGTAGTGGCCACTGAAGCCCAGGAGTTGGGAATGAATGGTACGTAACTAGTCAACCCGTCCTTGCCACCCCACACCAGGCTGGTCACGTGGAGACTTGTTCTTTGGCTCTGGCTCCTGCTACTGCAGAGAAGGCAAGAAACCCTTTCAGAAAAATGGCTTTTATTTATTTTGTTCCCTCCTCTCTTTCCTGCACTGTGAACTTCCTTACCAGCAGATTTGGAAATGCTCAGAGAGGTCATGTCTATTCTAAAATACATTTCAAATGTGTAGAGGAATGCTTTTGCCCTTTTAAAAAAAATGAACGTGTTTGGTTAGGCTCTGCTTCCTTCAAATGGTAATTTTCAGCAGGGTGTTAAGATTTTATTCCATTCCTCCAAACACACACGTATTCTAGGCAGTGTGATTCAGTACAAGGAGGGTTGAATTTGGAGTCAGAGGATCTGGATTCAAATCCTATTCTTCTTACCTTCTGTATCACATTGGGCAAGTCACTTGACTACCTTTGTGCCCCCACAAAGTGTGAGTTTCTTCCTCAGTAAAATGTAGACCAGTGGTGTCAAACTCAGACAGAAACAGGGGCCACTGGTCTGCACAGGATGATCCCTGTGGATGACATACTGACTTAGTTTTAAAATATAATATTATCTGCGTTTTACTGTATTTTTATTTATTTTGTTAAATATTTTCCAACTACATTTTAATCTGGTCCCAGGGGCACACAGGGTTATTGTGGACTGTATGAGAATGTTTGGACCTCTGAGGTCCATTCGGTGAACATTTATTAAGCACCTACAACTGTGCGGTCCTTTCCATCTCTGTCGCTGTGACCCCTCAAAAATGTTGAAATGTCATATTTTTGCCTTTCACCAAAACAGTAATGTCCTGTGATCCCTTGGGCTAATTTTGTTAAGCATGAAGTGCCTTGAACTTGAAGTCATAGGACCTGAGTTTGAATCTCAGCCCTTCCACTTTCTACCTGTGACAGCTTTAGGCAGGTCACTTGCCTTTTCTGGGTCTTAGTTTCCCTCTCTGTCAGACTAGGTATCCTCTGAGTTCCTTTCCATCTCTCATTCTATGATACTGTGACCCAGTGACTAGGGAAACAAAGCCATGTGTCTTATGAGGACAGAACTGGAGAAAAGTACTTTGCCAGTGACCTAGAACTCCATAGTCCAGGAGTCTAGCTGCTTGTCCTGCTGGTGTGGTTGCAGAGGGGGCCCAGATGGGTAGACTGAGGGTTACCTGGTGGGTGCCAGGAATTTCTCTCACCTTCCTTTCCTTGACAATTTAGCTGATTCCCTCAGATTTCTCTTACTATGTAAGGAAAAGGGAGGTGGGAAGAAAGGGCTGTTTGGCCCGGCCTGGCCCAGTCTGGCTTGTTACGGGTGTACTCATCTTTGTTCAGACCCACAGCACAAGCTGAATCTTTTTACTTTCTCCTGGGCTCCTTGGGTTCTGCCTAGCTTCCCTTCTCTGCTGCCGCTGCTTGGAACTTCGTGGGGGTTTTGTGGGCATGTGTGTGCCAGCTTGTGTGGGTTACTAGGCCAATTTCCTGAACCACATGTGCTCATCTCTCCCCTGCTGCTTCCCTGTTTCCTCCTCTCTATCTTCTTTCAGGTACCACCAAAGTGTCCTAAATTATTGGGGTTTCTCAGCTCCCTGGAGCCTGTCCCTCCATGATCCCCTTGGCCTTTTTCAGCCACAAGCTATCTGTCCTTTCCTGATTGCTGGGGTAAGTTGTCTGCTGAGTGACTTGGAGTCGTTCTCTGTTTTTCCTTGAGGGGGAGTCCCCTTTCTAGGACCAGTCAGTGAGGAAACACCTGGGGAAGGCCTGGAAGTGACCCTCAATCAGCAGTCGGTTTTTTTTAAAGGCTCCTTGGAGGGTTGTAACGCCCAGCAGGGCAGGGAAGTGGAAGATTCTAAGCTATTGGTATAACCCCTATCCAGGACATCCTTAGGGGATGCCAAAGTCTGAAGCAAATACAACTTTGTCTCCTCTTCCTCCTTCCCCAATGTTTCTATTTAGGTGACATAATTAAAGCAATTCAAAAGTCGTGAGAGAGCAGCCTGAGGAGTGTGTATGTGTGTAGGAGTGGGGAGGGTCAGGCTTTGTCAACATGTAGTTAGTGACGACTTTTTGGTCTGTTGATTTGTATATGAGTGTTAGGTTTTTATGTAGCACTAGCTGTTGCTATCTTCTTTCCTCATCCATCCACCTGGGTGCGTCCCGCAGTTGCTACCTATACCTCTAGTCTTAGTAGCATGGAAGCCCTGCTCTTCAGCCATCAGTCCACAGATGTCTTTGGCCACCATCGGCCCAGCCAGGACTTCAGGGAATAGAAAAGTCAGGCGTCCTCCTAACCCCCGAAGTGGCCAAGTTCCCAATATCAATTTGGAATATTCAATTCCCAGCTATCCTCACTAATGAAAGTGTCCAAAAATCCCAATAAAGATTGGCAATAATTTAAAAAAGTCTTTGTGAGCTGGGTGGGTGGATGGGAGCTATTTTATTTAAGAATTATTTGTCTTAGAGGGGCAGCTAGGTGGCACAGTGGATAGAGCACTGGTCCTGAAGTCAGGAGGACCTGAGTTCAAATCCAGCCTCAGACCAAATACTTGACACTTACTAGCTGTGTGACCCTGGGCAAGTCACTTAATCCCAATTGCCTCCCCCCCACCAAAAAAAATAATTTGTCTAAGTCTGACTTTAAGTTTTTTTTAAATTTAATTTTCTCAGTTAACAATTTTGTTTTCTCTCCCTCCCTCTCCTACAATGAAAAACAAAACAAAACAAAAAAACTTTAAACACAAATACGTAAATAAACAATATACATGTAGCTGTGAATCTTGACTGATGTTAAGCTTAGTTCATGTCGCCTGAGTCTGCCTGGCTTACCCCACAGAGGACAGGTGGCCCAGGAGTGTGTAGGATACAAAAGGAAGCCAGCTTGGCATTCCAGATTTTGCCCAGGAGGATTCACAAAGTAGAAAAGAAACAAGGGCTGGGGATCGAAGAGGTGGAGAGAGTTGAGGAGTTTTTGAGTCTGTTGCCTTGTTCCCAAGCTAAGTCACCCTGGACCCATCTGGGGACACTGATAATCTTTCTTACTTTTTAAGGCCCCTGGGAGAAGGTTAGGAGACATCCTGTTTCAGTATCTAACAACCTCACCATCAGGAAGCCCTTCCTTTTGTTCAATCTCCGAAACCTTCCTTTGAATTCCCTCTTGGTCTGCCCTCAGTGGAAATGGAGAATGTCTTTGAATAGTAACTCAGTGTATTCTTAAAGACTGATGTCAGTCGCCCCTTAGCCTCATGGAATGATTCTTGTTCCTCTAACCTTCCTCATGGGTGGCTCCAAATTCAATAAACATTTATGAAGCACTTACTGCATGCAAGGCACTGTGATGCTAAGTGCTGGGAATGGCAAGACGGAAAAAGCCAACAGGGTCTCTGCCCTTAAGGTGTGGTGGAAAGGGCTGTTTGAAGTCAG